AAAATAAAAAACTACTACTACTCTTGCATTGAGCCAATAACCACTCTCTTGAGTAGAAAATAATTTTAGAATGAACAGAGTTTGCTGTCATATTAATTCAACTATTGAAAGTAATCATTTACAGAATCAACCAAACAAACATCCCAGTGACGACTTACCGGAAAGCCTGGAAAGCCTCTTGTTCCGGGTTGTCCCTAGAGAGAAGAAGAAAAAGCATCAGTGTGTTTGTTGTAATTCTTAAAGTATGGTGTGAGAATCAGCTGGAGCAGGTTAGTGAAAGGAGATACCTGGGCTGTTCAGCCTTTTTGAAAAGATGCTAAAGCTTGTCACAGTGCAAATTCCATGATCAAGAATCATCTACCATGATCAACACAATTCTAGAGTTTTGAAAATTCTCAATGACAAAGATCCATCCAATGGGTCATGACCAAATTTATAAAGTAAAAAATGTTCAATCACAACCACTAACTCAAATAAGGTCCTTAGAAAAATTGAGATGCAGTGAAAGTTAAGTTTTTGAAAAGGCGTATGAATTAAATATATTGTTTGAGTGTTTTCAATGTCTAGTGTTGGATGGAAATGCATTCTGCATTGAAAACAACATAATTTCCCATGACAATGTCCCCTGCACACATTTAATACATCATTGTGTATGTGCTAATGGACACCATGCACATACACACACACTTGTGTGCTGCTGTTTGCAGTCCACAGTCGAACTGTGAAGTTGAAAGCCTGTCTCTCTCTGGAAATGATCTGTTCACCGATCTATCCAACCTGATGACCCGATGACAATGTGGCAAAGAAGTCACAGCACTTGGCTCAACTAAGCAGCCTCTTGTTCCTTTTACCTCTCTGTTGAAATACCTTTTTTGTTCCATCTAGGGTCACTACTGGAGTTCCTCATGTCAGTTTCACCTGCTGTGGTAAACAAGCTTCTAAGTGTTAGGGACTGACTGGCTCTCTAAGTTAAAGACTTGGCTCCTACTGTGCGGAGCTTCCTCCACGGCCTGTTACTCATTAGAAATGCCTATTACCATCCAGGAAGTGTGGGCACACACAGGTATAGATTGTAATAGCCATCAATTATAAAAACAGATGTGTGCTCCACTTAAGTTGACTGGGCTCTTGGTTATGCCACCTTTCGCAACTTAGGAGGCAATATTGTCCTGGAAATTGAAAACACGAAGAAAAAAAAACTTAAGTAATATTTCCTCCCAAGATTTGGGGATTTAACAAGAGGAACCATTGAGGCCTGGTGCCTGATGACGAACACTGACCCCAGTCGGACCAGGATGAGGTTTCTCACTCTGCTTCCTGATAAAACAAGCATGACTAATGATCCAATTTATGGCCAAATTACACCTCCAATCCAGTTGAACAATGCCGCTGTCTCCCCACAGTCTGTAAAAAAATGTATTATTCCATCATTTGTGGTGAATTCTTCCAGTCTTTAACTAAGATGGTTTTAAACCTGAGTCCAGAACCGCTTGAGTCTAGAAAGAACAAGTCACTCAGTCACTCCAGTTGTCTGGTTTAATCAACAGAAATGAAAAATGTCAGTCAGTGTCAAAGAGCCTGATGCGTTAAGCAGAAGTCTATTAAAATGGTAGCCCATAAAAGATTCTGGCACGCAGGCAGGCAGCAGTAATTGAAGATAAGAGGTTTATTAGGTGTAGGAACATGTGAAGATACTTACAGGAGGTCCTCTTGGTCCAATGATAGATAGACCTGGCTCGCCTGGTGCTCCCTGTGGACAGATAGAAAGACAGGAAGAAAACATAAGTTGCTTTCTCAGTCAACCCCAGAGATCTGTGAAATTCAGCACATCGATGCATTCCTCCGAAGGTAAATACAGTAGCAACAGACGGGGAAAATTACTCCACCAGCGCCTACACACAAGGTGTCTACTTCCAACACAAACAGTAAATACCACTTCTCAGACAACCATAGTGGACATGCATAACAGTGTAAAGCTCTGAAAATTTCACAGTAACGTTAATCTGCGTTGCATTGTGAAATAGCTGGTGCGAGAAGCTCAGTGAGTATTTGTAGGGAAAATTGGATGTTCAAATGTGATTATTGGGGTCAGATGGTCAGGTTTTAGTATTTCTGCAACTGCAGAATCTGAAATTTTCACTCATAAGTCCAGAGAGTTTTACTCAGAATGGTGAGGAAAACAAAACAACATTGAGAAACGCAAGGCTGAAGTGACACAGACTGACTCGACAGTTAATGACTGAAAACATAGCCTGGTCTGATAAATCTGGGGAAAGTTTAGGACATTAATACCCCTCAGTCGGTCATGGTTTGAATCTGAGTACTGTCTCTGTCCATGTTCATCCCTTAACGGCCACAGTTTACCGCCTTCTAATGGACACTTCCAGCAGGATAATGCTCATCAAACTGGTTTTATTAGCATTAGACAGTGAGCTCAGTGAATGTCAGTGATCTCCCCAGTCACCAGATGTGAATCCAAGGAGATGATGTGGTGTAGTCACGTCATGGAGCACACTCTCAAAGGAAAGTTTGAAAAATCTTGTAGAATCAGTGTCAAAGAACTGCGGCTGTTCTTAGAGAGTGACAAGGCCCTTCCAATTATCAGTATGGTGTTCCTAATAATGTGCTCAGGCTGTGTATGCTCCCTGCATTCAAATAAAAAGGAAGCCAAAATATTATTTTAGATTGTCATCTGAAGAGTGATTCAAACAGCAGCCCCTCCATTTCCCTGCACTTGGGGGGGGGGTCCGGTTACTATTTCTGTTTCCTAGTGCTTGGCTAACAACCACACTTATCACAGTGGAGTGACAGTCAAGAATGTGCTGTCCGTTTTCCTTTTCGAAGCACTCTCGACCCCACACATAACAAATCATGTTGTATTAGAAAAGAACAAATCTATAAATCTGCTGTTTCCCTGTTTAAATACAGTTGATCCAGCAGACACAATTATTTTTAATTTGTTAAGGTCACACAGAATACATCTTATTAAAGTTGAGTCAGTGTCAGTAGACACAGATTAGTCATCATCCTAATGCATATAAATTGTATGTCAATTATTTCTTTAGCTCTGTTTTAACTCAGATGCTGAGTGTTACTTTTCTTCACCAGCGAGTTGCTAACTTTGTCTGTCTGCTGTTTGGTGCTTGGCAGGTGGCACTGCCGCAAACAAAGTTGATAAGAAAATCAGCTGGCTGGAAAACCAACAAGTCCAGTAAGGAGGCTCAAAAGCTGAAGAGCTGATGAGGAGACCATGGATTTATTGATAATCTCACAAAAGTGAGCACATATTAACAATTTAGTCATTGTTAATATGAAACTTGTTTACCACTGCAGGTGAAAAGAAAAAGAAACCTTTGGGGAAATATGGTCAGTCATTTCCAGGATTGCTCGGCTTGAGCTTTGAGGGGGCTCTATGGAGTTTTCTTGTAAACAGACAGTTTCTTTTCACATTTGGAGTTTCATACCAAAATGCAGTGTGTGTATCCTTGAGGCCCAATAAATGTGGTGGATATATGTCCTTCCTCATAAACTTTTAAAGCCCCAGTTCTGTAACTTTCATTGTTTATGTTGATGTTTTTTGGCTGGCAGACTTCTCTGCCTTTTTTTTCCATTGGCTCCAGCCACACTTATTAGTTTTAAATATTTGTGTGAATGCTGCTGGCCGGGATAAGAAAGAAAACTCCAGGGTCGTGTTTTAGTCTCGAAGGACAGAAACTGAGACTTTTAGAAGTGATGATGTAGACACCACATCAGTCATAACTACGCATTGCCAACACCTACTGTCAGTAACAGTGTCACCTCATCGTCACTTCAAGAGAAGACTTCCCTGGTCTTGCTTTTGTTCCTCTTTCCATGACCCAAACCAAGGTTCATTTCTTTGTTACATTGAATATATTTGATCTGGTTACTTTTGGTAACAGTTTACAGTGGCAACCATGTAATATCAGTAGGGTACCACTACCAATAAAATCAATGTACATGTCCTTCAAACGCTAAATTGTCTGAGGTGAAGCCTACAAGCAATCCTGTTAGCAGCGTCTACGTCTTCTTCTGTAGCTTAATGCTATCCCAACTTCCAGCAATTAGTCCAAAGCTCTGAACTATTCAGGGTTCATCTTCCAAATGATCCAAATCAGGGTTTGTTTGATCTGGACCAGGACCACCTCTTTATATTGGACAAATGTTTTGTCCATCGGTCCAGACTGTGGTCAGAGGCACCTTTCACACCGGTTACTTTGGTTCAGACGAAGGCATGTACCAAACCAGGTGTGAAAGCCCTCCAAGCCAGAGTACTGCTTCCTGTTCACACCACCACAGGCTTGGCCAGTGTGCCTGAATGTTCATGTGATCAACACATAACAGTTTTAGCTGCTGATCTTTGGGATGGTGTAAAAACTTTGATAAGCATCACTCACATGCTCTGCTTCTTGTGAGCATGCACAAGACTAGAAAAAATGGGACACACTCTAAAGCATTGCTTCATAGAGCTCACAGTGATGAAACATTACTTTCAGTTTGGGGTCAAATTTTACTTGTGAGCGGCCAAGCATTTTACTGGATGTAACCCACAGGTCTGAGCTGATTTTAACTGACAAGCCACCAATGTAGCAAACTTCTGACATTTTGTGGGTAGAGTTCATTACATTGATGTGAATAAAAGTGATTATTTAGATTTTTATGTCCTTGTTCTGCTTACATTGGCAATTTTACTTTTGCATTTCATGAAGCCAAGTGGGAGATGGTGGACCTCCAGTAAAATGTGCCTCACATGCAATTTCCACCTTGAGGCTAATATTAATCTTTTCCCTCCCAGCCGGCAGCTCATATTTACAGTAAGAACACGACAGAGTGCTAAGATTTAACTGTGGCCGGACACACCAGGTACAGCATTATTTAACTCAATGTGTAATTCATTCTACCTTCTCTTTGAGAATCTCCTCGCGTACTCTGCTGTGGCCTCTATAAATGTCGCTCCGCTTTCTTTGGGGAGTCTTAAATTAGAACTCTTAGACACTGATGTGACAAATTGTTACTATTGTGTTTCAATGTGTAAAGAGCTCAGGTAATCCAACCAGGGTGGGAAACCATTTATAGAATGTGATCCTGATGCTGTCTAAAAATACAGACTTGAGTTCCTGATATAAATCACATGCTACCTGTACACACAATACAGCTGTGCACTAACACCACCGCCCACCATCTTTGCAATGTCTCAAATGACAGCCTATTTTATACATCAATGTTTTATTACAACTCATCCTACCTATGCTGATGACAAGCAGACTGGGTTCACCACAGGTGATCCAGCTAACAAAAGACACCAAACCAAAGCCAGGAAATGAGAGGACAAAGCTGCAGTTTATCTTCGGCTGGTGCTTCATTGCATAATCCTGCTAAAAGCACATGCTCCTAAACTTACCTTCTCCCCTGTGTGTCCTTTTAAGCCCTGGGATCAGTCACAGCAGACACAGTAGCATGCAAAAAGGTGTGAGGGGAGGAGAGAGACACAAGAGAGAGAGGAACCAGTGTTAGAGTCATATAGACGGTTCAGGGCATGCAGCATCCTCCAGCACTAGTGATGGGGAGGGGGGTGGTGACAGAGCTAAGGGGAGCTTTTATATGTGTCAGTTAAGTGGAGCTGAATGGAAACTCAAGGTCTCAATGTGTTTCAAACAAAGTGCATTTCAGATTGTTTAAACAGTGTCTTTCTTACAGTGAAATCAGGCCCAACCATTTTTATAACTTATTTATTATTGACATTATATTATATTATTATATTTGACCTGACAGCGGTCAAGGAGATAGTCCAGATAATATGATACAATTCATGTTATCATGTCACATAAGGTAAAAAAGACCAATGTCTTGAGAGGCTTTTTGATTTTATATGTGGTACATTCAGTTTAAATTAGTATTTAATTTGAAGTTGACAATTTTACACTGTGGATAATATAACAAGCTTTTAAAGCATACATACATACAGTCGGAAAAATCAATATGTAGCCAGGGCCACATTTCAGACATGTATGAATTAACAGATGAACCAAACAGTAATTTTTCTTCTTAATGAATGACATGATTTGATTTTAATAATATTCAAATTATCAAATATCTTAGCAAAAATGAAAGATTAACAAAAAATCCGAAAAGAGATGTGTTTGATCCGATTTGATTTGTCGGGTGTCCATGTTTTTTTAATGTTATTAAACTATAGTTAAAACAAGCTACATCTGGAGCAGCTACAACAGCAACATGCTGCCCACATACAGATTCATCAGTGTTGTTATATATAATAATATATCAGTTAAACAGACCAAAACTGTATATATACTTTAATACTTCAACTACATTTTCTTCTGATATGATGTACTTATAGTTTAGGGATTATCCTTCATGACCTTTACTTTTTATACTTTTGCATATTGGTACTTTTACTTAAGTTAAGGTTCTGAATACTTCCACTACCACTGATGATTGCTGTAGAGTAAATAGCTACAGTCTATTACAGTCAGTGCAGCATCAAGAGGGATACTATTTTATCAGACACTGTGATACAACAAATCTTAGTAAAGGTTAAAAATGTTACTTCCCTGAGGGAAACACAGCTCTGTTTCAAGAGCAGAGTTAGACAAACACTTCAGTTCACCAGTTCTGGCCTTTCACTTAAAATCAGAGCAAAATACGTCAGTATTGTTCACCTTTAATGTATCAGATATGATCCAATTTGAGCAATAAGATATTTATTGTAGACTTTCCCAGCTTTACACTAAATTTATTCTAAAGCATTTAAATCACAGTAACCACATTGTAAAACTTGTTTCAGAGGCCTTTATGGCTCATTGGAATATAAATCTAGGATATCTGTTACTAAAAGCCTCAGTTAGTTGCTCTTGGCATTCAAATATTCTCATACTTGAGCACTCTGACTTATTTTCATGCCGTCAAAATTCCTGTGCAAGGTGAGAGGCCTGTAAGCTATGGAGACCACACTGCAATGTGAGTAAAAATATGTATTAAACAATGTCCGCATGTGACAGGGCTGAAACTGTTTGAAATATGGCTATATCAAAAAGAAATAATATATATGTATATAATATAATGGATTGTGTGGTAACCTTGTAAATTACAGGCTGCAGTGACTAGAAGAAATACCAAAGAATTTGTAGAATATTATAACAACTTAATATTATTTGTGATAGCTAATGCTGTATTTAATAATTACATTCACTTTGTGAAATGTTAAGTGGATACCTCCTGACGTTGCTGTGTGATTACTGGTCTGTGGCCTTGGTCGGTTGACTTTTTATTTCTGCACACATAACAATGTGGGAAGGCAATCTATGCTTGTACAAACATTGGACTAATTCAACTACTGAGATGTGAAACATAACATACCCTTAGAGTATATGTAGCAGTGGTAACAGCATTACAATGTGCAGGTTTTGTACTTGATGCAATATTATCATTTATGGAACGTTCAGTTAAAGGCCCCAAACACCTCTGCAGTTATGTTGGCTGGTCTAGACCTCTGCCTGAAGGTGGGTAAGACTATACTGGGTGTGCATGAGGTCACGGGATTCCTTGAACTAATTACAATGATAAAGGTGGAATTTGTCCCGCCCTTGCAAAAACAACATATAAAAGGTTGAAGTAGACCTTCAAAGAGCAGCCAAGATTAGTAATATATCTTGTGTGGGTTTACCATAGGTGTGCAGGGCCTTTATAAGACTAAATCCATTCTAGTCCTAAAAACAGCAGCCTTAGTCTTGAATCACTGCTCTCTGTACAGCTGATATGCTGCTTTCACCATCGCCCATGTTGAATGTAGCCACTACTATAGTATACGTCATACACAAACTCAAGTCACTCACCATTCTCCCTGGTATTCCCATACTTCCTTTGTCACCCTATTGACCGGTGCAAATTCAGAAGAAACACGGGTCATTACGAACATTAGAGTGGAGACTGAAGTGAACTCTTAAAGGGATACCTTGCCATTTCAACTTACGGGCCATTCCTTGACAATTACAAATATGTGTATTCTGATCTAAGTAAACCACATTTTATTTGAATTCAACTGCAGCTTCCACATTTAGGTTTTACTGATTTGGTGGCACTGTTGCGTCATTGAATGGAATTGGTCCTAGTGCATGCAAAGAGATGCTAATGCTGGATATTCACAGTTTGTCTTAAAAAGTCTTGATGACATGGTATCCATTTAAATAATCCTTTGTGTTGGTTAGTCAGTTCACCATGCCATGCCTAATGTGGAGACTAGAGACAAGCATTTCATGATGCTGATAGAAAAAAAAGCTACTCTGATGCAATCATTGCCAGCCCAAGACTCAAGATAGATCTGAGATAATGTTGCAAAGCAGTGGCGGGCGGGGTGATTACAAATAGACAGCAGTCTGACATCTGACAGCAGTGAGACAGATTAGGAAATCTGAGAGCAGTGAGACAGATCAGGAAATCTGACAGCAGTGAGACAGATCAGGAAATCTGAGAGCAGTGAGACAGATGAGGCGTCTGAGAGTGAGAGTAGAGGAACTTGTCTTGGGTCTTAAAGAGCTCATTGCACTGCTAGTTCACAGCTATACTGCTAACTTCCAATTCTCTGCTCCAGTCAACAACCCCCACTATCACACACCCACTTTCTCTCTTTATCACCCACTTGCAATGCAAACAGCTAACACACTTAACTATCCCTCAAAGCTGCACTACTTGTGAAACAATATTTGGTCTCAAACTTCAGGAATCTACTGCAGATCTTACAGAGATGAAAAATAAGTGTCGTCTACTTGTCCACCTGCTACTGCTGCCTCTTATGATTAGGATGATAAGTCTGTAGAAGTAATCTTCTGAAGTTCAAGTACAGTTTCCAATGCATCTGTGCATTTGTAAAATAATGCCTAAGATATACCTGATCTCAGAAGGGTGGAGGCTGAGTCAGGGGCCACTTTACAAGCACCCTTGTCTGTAACTAGCTATAGTCAGTCACCCGTCAGTGATCCCAGGTTTTATTCTCAATGCACAAAAGTCCAAAACAAGATGTTTTCCGCTCGACTTGACAAGCCAGAGACTTTTAAAGTATTACAGGAAGAATAGATGTAGCAGCTTGTAGTGAAGCTAGCTTCCAGACAGAAAAAACTCAAACTAAAAAATGAATGCAAACAGGTCCATCAAATCATCTTTGGTACAAAATGTTTTCCTGAGATCAGATGAGAGAAATATCGCCAGTATCGTCAAAATGATGTTCATTTTTAGCTTTGACAGGCCAAGCACTACTTGACCTGCCACATTATAAGCCTCAAGTAGTCCTCACATCATTTGAAGCAAGTGGTTGGTGGCCACACACAAAAATCCAACTCTGACACATGCTCTGTTTAAAGTACTTCTCTATTTCAAAACTTATCCACCCCTTATTACTACTTCAGTGGAGCACATAACACGGCACAGACCAATAGCTAGCAGTATTGTCTATTGTCTATTGTCTCTTTCGTGTCTCATGACTGTTATGATGGTGTGTATGACAACCAGCACTGCTGAGCGTCAGAGCTGGTGCACATGGTTGCTAGATGAGTGGCTGTAAGAAGCTGAACTCAAAAGTCATGCCTTTTTCTTGCAATAAAATGTATCGCCAGGAAATTTCCGTTCAGAACATAAATTTGGCCAAGAGTTATGGAGGAATTTGTCAATGCTACCAGAATAATCCCATTTAAAGTCCAGTGAATAGTACATTTGTCCAATCAGATGTTGGAATGGTCCATGGCGGTGTCTGAGCAAAATCTTCTCAAGCTGTACAGCCTAATGAAGGTATTGTGCCTGTCTGATACATTTTGATCAAGCATGTAGAGCCCATCATCTCTTCTATGTACACTGAGTCTGAACATGGTTTCAGCTGTTTTCAGTCCTGGTACATCAGATTTACAAGTATCTCTGTCATTAGTCGTATGGCATATTTTTAAAGCACTTAAATACTATCAGGCCACAGCTGTGTTCTTTGAAGCCCTGTCCAAGCTTCTGATTTAACCAAGACCTTGGGAAAAATGGCACCACCAAAAGTGGTTTTGATCTAGAGCACAGGGCTAAGATGCTTAACATGATTATTTGCTGTGACCACAAAATACAACGTTCACTAAAGTAGGGTTTTGTAGCCATGAGACGAACCGAGTGCCTTGTAAACCTCGGCCAGTTTATGTGTTGCACTACACTTCCACAGACAGAAACCACATCACTGCCGTACTATTCTTTCTGCTCTACATCCCAAGCATGTTTCTACAATATTTAACTATCCATGCCTAAGAGATATAGGTCAAGTAGGCTGTTTTCCCTTTTCACCTTTCACTTGTAAAGTCTGTCACTCTCTCTGTGGTTTTCAGAGTTATTACGGCCTTGGTAGTCTCACCACACACACATAAACTAAGCCTTGAGCTGACAAACACATTGCAGTCAAAAGGATTAATGCAGGTCCTTAGCAGTGGAATGTCGAGGTGTCTGTGGTGTATCTACAGTGTTAATGAGACACAGCTGGACCTCATATTCAGGCCAAACATACACAAACATGTACTTCTATCATCTTCTGACGCTCACTGTTATAATCCAACCCCCCCCTACAGAATATAACCCTAACCCTAAATCTAACCTGTACCTTAAGACTGAGTCTCAACACCCAAACATCACTTTGAAGGTGCGTCAGAAAGTGAGGACCAGGCAAAAAATCCTCACTTCCACGCCTTCATGAAACCACAAGTTTTAAAGATGACTGCAAAAATGTCACGGTAGCTTTTATGAGTTATGAGTGAATCATCAATTCTTAAGTTGCATGTGTCTAGCCAAGCGTTTAGTAGGGAATTCTAAGAATACTGCACAGAGTGAGCTTTGTCCGCATGTATGTGGGGAAATATAAGTTGTGAGTTAAAGGCAAGGAAGGAGCAAAGTGTTTATAATCCATCGATCATATCTGTGGGTTCTAATTCCTTTAAGACCTATAATGTCACGAAAGTATGACCACCTAGTATAAAAAACACTGCTCCCTTTTTTCCTATTACGTGTTCTCTTTCAAAAAAAAAACAAAAAAAAAAACACATCTTCCCACCATCATTCTGTCAAAGACTGCTTGTGCCTTCATTTCCCGCTGCTTAACGGAAGTAATCAATCACAAATCATTGCACAGAATATCATCCACTCTTTGACATAGACAGTCAACCGTTTGTTTTTTGTAACTGGCAACAAAGCACAGAGGTCAGACACTAGATGGCCACCTGTTTTCATTAAAGGAACCCTGTGAGTTTGGCATGTTGAGACCACTAGGTCGGCAGAGGGAAGGAGTGAAAAGAAAGTGTTAGACTGGAAACAATAGAATGTTAGCTATAATAAAACAGTAGTCCAATATGCAAGCATTACAGTACATTCCAGCTATGGCAGAAATAAGGAAAGCATTTTAGTGAAAACAACTAAGAGGCCATGTTGTTTCGAATTAATAGTGTTTTAAAGCTATAAGCATTTAGTTTCACTGCTGTATTGACATCTCTGACATTTGTAGCATAATTACAAAACAAATTGAGGTTATTCAGTGATTTCTATTCCCATGGTAAATGTATCTAGATATATTTGAGAGAATGGATGTAATGAAGTGAGTCATCATAATGCTCTGTAATATGTAAACAGGACTATAAATGGAATATTAATCTAGAAACTAATGTAAAAACCATAATCAAAATTATGTCTTATAAAGTCAATGATCAAAATATTGGTGTCCGTGTAAATCAAAGTGACGGAAGCTACTATAATTGCACAACAGTGAAGCACCTGCCCTGGGATAAAAATTAGCTTGGTGGTAGACAGCTGACTTTCGCTTTGTGCTAAGTGAGCCCTAATTTTAAATTTATCAAAAACCAGTTAGGAAATATTTAGGCTTGAGGAAGCTGAAAAACCTAGGCTAAAGAAAATATAGCTACACTACAGCTCTTCAAGAAACACCTTATAATGTAATAAAATAAATGCAGTTACTGTTTTGTGCTATAATTCATCACACACAAAGACTGAGTTGTCAAAGACACATATATGGTGTGTGTGTATAAGGTAAGGAAAAATACTACCAGGGACAAATACTACCCAACATTGGAAGTACATAATTAAGTACCTTAAATGAGAATGAGACATTACTTTAGCATAAATATGAGCAACATTAAGAGTGTGTATAACAAAGGCTCTTTTTATTGATTATGAACTCAATTGTTCAGTAATAGATTGTTTCATTTCTTTCTTCAAAAGTTGAAAAAAATGTTTTTTATGGTTAAGACTGGATAGTGACACTGGGATATGTCATTTACGGTTAGCTGCGGCAATTGTATTTCCTCCAAAACATTTTTAATAAGCAGGATATATTCTGTCTGTGATTTGTTTGGTAGCTGGTTGTTTAGGCTTATCTGGGGCCAAAAGCTTATTCAATTTTACTTTACCCATGCTCAACAGATTAATTTAATAATCCGAATATTCAGCAGAGAGCAGACAGAGAGATCAATACTGCAGTGATCACATATGCAAATACTATATCTAGAGACACACAAAAACACCAGTTAAAAAGAGAGTTACCGGAAAGCCTGCTCGTCCAGGAGGACCCTGAAAAAGGGGTGAGAGAAAGTTGGTACAAAAGGAAAGAGAGAACTTTACAATTGAAGTCTACACAATGAAAGACAACTGCACTGCACCAGGCCAGAATAAAATGAACAGGAGCGATTCATGATAATTACTTTCTTATTGCCAGCAATTTTATAGTCGCTACCAAATACAATAGAAATTCTACGATTCTACTTGCCAAATTAGACAGTGTGAAAATGTTCATTCAAAACTATCACCTATACTACCAATGTTTTCAGCTGTTGCTACATGAGCCTAAATAAGATAATGTTATTCTTGTGTGGAGCATGTATGTGTGGACAGATGTGAATGCTTCTTTTTCAGGTGCTTAGCTAAAACTGCAGTGTTTCTTCCTTTCATTTGAATTGCTCCGTTGTACTGTTTGAATACTTGGCTTTGGTTGTCTATACCTAAGGAGCATAATGATTCTCCATGATACCTCCATGAACAACTCTTGCCTTTCCCTAAAGGTCCCTGTGGACCTGTTGTTGCTGTCTGTCTTCCTTCTTCCATTCAGACTAGAGTGCCTGTATGGTTATTATTCTCCCATCCTTAGTTCCAGAAGAATCACATCTCCTGTACCAAAAGCATCTAGGTACTCTGGTAAAACAGATGCTGTCCCATATTCAGGATTTTGATATAGACTTAGTACCATGACATCTCTACTGTTATATATGTTTTATTTTGGCCTTTTCATGTCAGTGACAGCAAACACAAACAACACTACCGATGCAGTAGCATGCCTCCCTGTTCTGGTCCAAATGCATTCAGTGGTTCACATTTTAACACAACACAGATCTTTCTCAACACAAAAGAACAGTTTTCTCATTTCACCACAAAGACGCATGCAAAGGTTGCTTTTGGGAGAACACATGCTGAAAGTCCACATGTTTCTGCGTAACTAACCCTATTCAAAGCTTCTAACCCTACTTGAATACCCCACTAATGCGGATACGACAACATGTCAGCTTGGTGGCTTTCATCAAGAAACAAATCACAAGAAGCTAGAATACAAAGACCTTCATTTATGTCCAGGTTCTATGAGCAAGAAGGAGAACAAAGTCAAAAGTCTAGTGTGCTTTGTTTTCATTGAGTGAGCGGAACACAAATCTGTGCTTTTTGTAAAGGATGGAACACTAATTGGTTGGAAGTCGAAACAGGAACTCTTGACATTTTCCCAAAAGCTGCTGAGGCATTGACTCTCCAGAGTGATGATTGCCTGCTCCTGAATGCTTGCATGTTATCAATATTTCTCCACGAGGAGTCCAGTGTGTGTGTGTGTGTGTGTGTGTGTGTGTGTGTGTGTGTGTGTGTGTGTGTGTAGGCCTGCAGGCATGTGTGAGTGCGTGGGCGATTGCTGGCCGGCAGCAGGAGAGAGGAAGTTATCCCTCTCTCCTCAGTAGTCCTGGATGGAGGGAATGTCAAACATTAATCTGAGCTCCTGATTATTGGCTCTGATGACTGATTGTAAATATCTATGAAATGCTGTCATGTGTTCATTTTGTGCAGTGGTTCAGTCATTGTGCATTGTGACAACTATCATGTATGTTCAAGGGAAACTCCCAAAACCTAATGGAAAAAAGTGATGGATTATTAAAATGTCAAATATTTTATCAATGAAAACATCTGACAGAGTAATCCACTTGTCCATAGTTGATCTGTATCTTTTGAGTGTTCCAAACCATCTTCACCAGTAAATCACTTATTATTCTAAAAGTTTGACCCTCCCAAAATGTTTGCTTCCAATCTGTTTACCATATAATTCCATCTCTGCACTTCCTTCATGTTTAGTTGATGTCTCCACAGGCTAGAATTATTTTCACCTACAGTTCATACGTCGTACATGAGTCCTGCTTTTTCATCAAACTAAACTTTTCAATTATGCGTTATAAGCTTTACATGTACCTCAGTGTGGCCGGTGCCTGACTCATCAGATGAGCATTATATTTACTAAATCAGGCTGGGCAGTGAGCGGGCAGTGCATGAAGGTGCATGGCCAGGTGGTGAGTGTGAACACACTGCATGTTGGCGTCTGATCATTAGCTACTGGCTCAGGGGCTGTCTGCAGGGGGCAAAGGTCACCCACTGCCGGAAGGAACCTTTCACTTGAATTACACAGTAACCCTCCAACATGTGGCTCCCATTTAGCAAAGTGCTGCTGAATGAATGGGATGCTGGGGAGGGGATGGTGGGAGAAGCGTATATATTTGGCCATTGTACTCGGGATATATAGTCTCCTGGGCACTTCTATGCTCAATAAGAAGTGAGTTGGGGTGTAAAGCAGAATGAGAGAGTTTCACTTGCTCCATTCCTCTTTCTATTATTTTGCCCAAAAGCTGTCTGGCTTTATCCTATTACTGAACTTGAACACACACACACACAGTCATAATCACAACAACTCCTTTTGTGTAGCTAGATTTATTATATACATGTCGTAAATTGTGAATTTTGTTACTCAGCTTTGGACTTGCAGCTAGAGCAGGACCCCTGTCCGTATCCTGTTCAGCTTACTTAGAATCAGAGGGTACGTTTCTATCATGTCTGATTATTTTAAAATGTGTTACATGCACAACACCCATGCAAGGGCCAACTGACCCTGTGATCTGACCTGATGACAGTAAGATTTGTTGCTATGCAAGAATAAGTTAGCCCTGTGATGGACCTGGCTATACAGTGTATTGACCTGGACTTGACCCTATTTTAACATTGCTTCTCAGAACTCTCTTCTGGGAAAATGGACACGTTCATTACGTGTCTTTGTACATCAGAAAGGTTCCAAACAGCATCCTAAATGATGAGTCCTCCAAGGACAGAGAGCTCATTGATATGGCAGGTTAATATTAATCACAACTTTTAATATTCATAATCTTTTGTGTTTGTTGCTCACTGTCTAAAATATCAGTGCATTTTCTGATTATTGCTCCTGTTAGGAGCAACTGTGACATTTTTGGAACTTTTACTATTCTAAGATCAGACACAGCTTTATATATTACATCTGAAACATTCTGACGTTTTTAAATGCTGGGTTATTTACTCTGTGAAACTCTGAGCTCTTTTGCATTCATCTCCCCACTCATCTCCCTTTTTATTTCATTTTACTGGAAGCAATTTGTGAGCTAATCTCCTCGCAAATGAATTTTAGATTAAATTTGTGTATTATTCAAATGAACACTGGTGAAAAGAGCCTTACCCAGGGTGTAGGTGTTTGACACAGTGTATGCCATGGAAGGCATAAAGGAAAGTGGAATGTGATCATGTCTTTAAATTGCTCAGATCCAGTGGAGATGGAAGTGTATGTGAGTGGAAAATGTGCTTCTTTCTTGCTGTCTGACCTCATGTACCTTCAAACCTTCTTTGTAGGAACTATCCCTCACATTTTCCAGGGAGGGATCTTTGGCAGATGTGATTTTAAAACTGTCACGGCTGTACAAAAGTCAAACTCATAAGTGTCCAGATGCTTGGACCGGTCTTCCTGAACCCTGTGGCATTGAGGCACAGGAGTTTAGCAGGTTTTCCATTTAACCTAAGTCTTGATTTCAACTTTGCATGCATCCGCCAGTTCTATGCAGAGTTAAATGGGACAGTGGCTTCTCCCAGTGCAGACAGGGCAAGAGGTTGGGTACATTTTGGACAAGCCACAGATTTTTCAAGCCCAGTTTACAACCATAAAATATACTAAACATTTGGTTTAAAAAAAGCCAAATAACAGGGCAGCATACAGATTATCACTGCATCCAGACAATATACTGGCATCAGATAGGTTCAAGTTCATCTACTTCAAACCACAATAAAAAAATAAACACAGTTGCCACTTTACCACATGCAGATCACACAAGGCACTGACTGGTCAACTTACTGGAGGTCCTGCAAGACAAGAGACAGAGAAAAAGAGATAAACATTAACATTCATATAAAAACATTACAGACAGTCTGAATACCTCAAATGATTGTGATCACTTCATAATGTATAAAACAAATACTAGGGCCAGAATATATGTATATGTTCATGGGTGGTGCCCAGTTGGTGATTTAGCCATGACTGTGAAGAAGCCTTGAAGTTTCAGAATTATTTTGCTTTATTTACTTAAAATACTATATTTTCTTTGTTCAAGCTGAAGCTGAAACGTAGACTCCCATATCAAAAATGACACATCCATGCCAGGACATGAGTCACTGATGTGTTTAACCTGTTTCCTCAAACAAGACAGACACTGAGACACGCCACAGCAAGGCTGGACCATGTTTTCAGAGGGACGTCATGATAAATCATTCCAGCATAAATCACAATCAAAGTCAGGGGATTCAATCATATGTTGTCCGGTGATGAACGCCACGGCTCAGTGAGCCCGGAAACTTGAAAGCATTTTATTGCCCTGGCAGCGTTGGAGATAGTTTTACTACCAATCAATCCTGGATCTGATGGAAGTAAAGACAAAGCAAGGGACAAATTGTGGAGAAGCATTGTAACTCAAAAAAATTCCACCACGCCTAAGCCAAAGGTTTGCTCCAACAGCAAAAACCATTTGATCCTGATATACAATCCTTTGTTCCAGTAAGGACCAGGATGAATCGCTTTGCCTGTGTCCGCTGCTCAAAATGGCCTTTCATAATAAATAATTGCTCACTGCATGGAGATAATGATTTGATATTCTTTGCAGAAACAATCTGTAGTACACTGTTATTTCCATTATAACTTTTTTTACAGTTTACACTCTGCACATTAATGCATGTCGATATGTTTCCTTGGAGAGATCCTATCCTATTTCCTATTATGGTTTTGATGGTATGACCCAATGTTTTCATTTAAAACCTGATTTTGCATTGAGCACATTCCACAATTTACATACATAAGCTCCAATTGGGCATTTTTTCTGTCACGGTGCAAACTTCATGGCAGATACATGATAAAACATTATTTGAAAGTGTGTGCTTCCGCACACATTTTCTCATTTGAGTTCTGAGGGTCCGTAAATGTTCCAACCATCTGCTTTTTTACTTTAAAAAAAGGTTTAACTACTCAAACTCGGAGTAGAAAACAACCATGTGCTTCTGCCTCACAAGGAAATGGAAACAAGCATTGATAAAACAGAAGTTCTTATTTTTGCTCCAGCTGGACGTGACCTAAAATGATGCAAAATCGTGTTTCTCTCCTTCTGAAATCTAGATGAGGCTTTTGGTTACAAGAGTCACAGGTTTGATTAGTCATGTGGCGTCGCAGGACAAGCTGGAGCTCTTGCTACATCACAGCCATATTAAGGAACCACTCCACTGTGTACGGTATATATACATATGTGGTCCAGGATGTTGCTTTTCATAATCACCTATAACTCTTTTTACATCATATTTTAAAATGTTCATTTTCATTTTGAGCCACATGGAGTAATCTCCTTTGGAAAGAAATGATGGCTGACAGAACACAGCTGCTTTGCTTGGTTTTTATAAATTTACACTAAAACATCTTGCCCCTGCTGCTTTCACTCATCTTTTCCCACCCACTGAAGTCAGTGGTTTTAACTTTCAGACGAACAAATTTGTGGTGCCGTGCTGGTGCCAGCTTTTTGGCAATCAAGTCTGATCGATCATGTAGCTTTGCAGAACATATTACTTGCATAATTCTTTTTATTTTCATTCCTTTAAATATGGCAATGTCTGCTTGTGACCTATTTTACTGGTTCCTGCTTTAGTGTGGACCTTGGTAAGTTGCCAAAGCTGTGACTCTCTGTGAAGGCACTGACATCATGTCCTCTGTAATTTGACATTATAGTACACACACACACACACACACACACACACACACACACACACATACAATCATCAAAAGAAAACCAATTATTTTTATGAATATAGTAGTTTGTCCTAAAACTATGTGTTCAGTAACAGTGTTGGCATCACTTATGATGAAAAACTTATTTCATGTGAAATCTTCTATAAAATACTCAAATGTGAATTTATTGAGCAGCTGGGTTTATTAGTATCTTTAGTCAGGGAGACGTATCAAAAACTCTGCCCTGTTTGACAGTTCAGATTCTACAGGGCTCAAAAACACTCATCGAAAACATATGAGATGGATAGACGACCCAGCCCAGCCCATGACTCACACTCTGCACCGTAAGATAGACCTTACACAAAACACCAGCGGGCTACCCGTTGACCTTTTCACAAGTACAATGAGAGAGGCGGGAGTCATCCGACATAATCAATTACTGGTGAATCAGGACAGGGGTCAGTAAATATGTTGTTACGTCAATCACAGCAATGTGAGGAAAATCATTAATGACAAATCTCATCAGTGAAATGTCAAATCAAATCCCCTGCTTTATCTCCTTAGTGGTTTATGCTGTCTGCCCCTCAGACTGGTCCATTCTAGCCTAGAAGGCTACTGTCAACTCAATTTGTTCACTTTGTACTCACTTCAAATGAAAAGCAGTTGGAACAAGGGAAATAGACAGTTCTGTGAAAGAAGATGGAATTATATAGACAGCTCAAATAAGTTACTGTTTGGTAAGAATAAGAATGAAGTACGGGTTCTGAGTTTTTGTCCCAAGAGTAACAGGAAAAGTATGTGTCGTAAATTTTGACAGGGAGAAAAGGTAAAGACACAGCTTTACGAGAAGCCCAGCATGCAATATTAAATAAAAGTGACTGAGAGTGCAGAGCATTTGATCACTTCCCCAGCCCTGGGGCCTGACACGAGCAAAAACATCCAGGAGTTACCAATGACGCAGTCAGGGTGACAAATCTGACCCCCGTGGGCCCAGACATTATTCTCTCTTTGCCTTTTAATTTTGAGGTGTGGTTCTTGTTGTAATTTGAGGAGTCGGGCTGCGTTCAACACACCTGGGGCATACAAATGTCAAAGCCGTGTCAAAGTGAAACGTGGCAAAACTCAAAGTGACATTTCATAAAGTTCAAACGGCTTTCTTGTGCTGATGATGGAAATAAAGTGAGTTTGAGTCACGGACATTGTGTGAGACTTTTGTTGTTCTGTTAAAGTCAATATCCTGCTTCCTGCCAATAAGACTCAATGGCGCTTAAGAACTTTTTTGTAACAACTTGGAGCTACCATAAGGTTTGTCAAGAAAACCCTGTTTTTCCTCTTTATGTTACTATGTGTTAAAAAAAAAATGCATTTGCTGTGGATCATTTCACAAAGACTTGATCATTTGTAATGCTTGCTGGCTTCTCTCCCCAGATTTCTAACTTTACAAGGTGTGTCAGGTCTGTTTGTTTTAAATTTGTCACACCATGAATCTAAGGAGCATGATTTCAATGTAAAATGCAGCCAGTGGGTGCAAAGTACCTTAATCTTACCCATGAGCTGTGTGACATATCGAATGCGACTGGCGACCTATCATTGCCAAACCATGGGGTTAGACTGCAGTGACTAACTTCCTGTTGTTTTTAGAACACCAGCATGCACCTGTCCTTTTCACTTCACATATAAGTCTATCTTTGCCTCACAATCTGTCCCTAAAACCCTCCGCTCCCCCACCACCCACAATGCCCTGCTAAGAAAAAAACTCTAGGGCAGTAGCACTAGTTCCACACACAGAAATATGAAATTCCAATGTGCAGATAACCATGACATTTGCTATACATACACAAGATAATACAATATATTTCTGACCAGGTGTGTTTGTTGTTTCCAATAGTTAGATCGATTTTTCATTTCAAGCAGAACCGTGTTGTTGAAACATACCACTAACCCTGAAGGACCAATAATATTAAACTGAAAGGGCTATAATTGCTGCTGCAGAAAAAGACCCGTAATATTATATTTTGTGAGGTCTAAGTTATCAGAAGGGATGTGCATAACGAAGTCTCAGTTACAGCAGAGCATGACTTTTCCAGTCATTTCTGCAGTTGTGATTCAGTCCTTGAAGGGTAAACTCAAACGGTCTTTGCATGAGCGGGGAAAGCAAACATGGAAGCAAGATTCCTGTTGCATTCTGGGCCTGCCATCACATCCTGTTGGCTGGAGCCACTCACCCAGGGGACATACTGTAAAGCACCTTGATCCAAAGGCACTTTGGGAGGCCTGGGGGAAGGGGGTTCAAATATAGCCAAGGACTGGCGCCTGAGGAGGGGCCACTGAAGCAACAGCTTTATGTGCAACAAGTAGTAGGCACAACATGAAACAACATTACACCCATAAACACACACACACACACACTGAATGGGAATTCGCTTGACTACATTGATACCATGTATTCCAAGCCTTCTCCTCTGCTGGGCTTAATGCTGTCTAACTATTGCAAACACCTGTTGTTTCTGCTTACGTAAGGGTACTGGTTAGATGCGCCCGGAAATGGAGATCTACACTGGATGCCAACATGCAAAGTCATGGGCGTTCCCCCTTTCCTGCCCCCTATTAAAGTCTGTCATTTAGTCAACACTGGCTCTTGCATGTATTTTAAGTCATCACATAACCAAATGACTGGCATTCTTTACTGCACCAGCAAATAATGTACAGTAACCTATAGGCCACAATTCTAAAGTCGTCTACTAAAATGCTGTTTTTTTAAGCTTCTTTCACCTTTTATGCTACATAGAGTAAACTGGTGTGGTGGACAGGAGGCCTGCCACCTTGAGGCTATCTCTGTCCCAGCATGTGTATCCAGGAATAACCTGTGGAATTTCTGAGAATATCACAATCTAAAAACCCGACACAGCCTGCCCACCATCCCCTGCTCTCTCAGATTCCCTGCCTCTCCCATTACCTTTATAAACACAGAGGTCTGCCCAATTGTTTGTGCTGTCACGTTTGCGCCCGACTACAGAGGACGATGATTGAAAGAGAAGACATCAGAAAGCACAAATAGCTAATGAGCATTGCATTATCCACAGGGAGACCCCCTAAAGTC